ATTATATAAACTTATTTTGTATCTAAGTAAATTGAAACACTATGCTATATTGGCTTATCAGTCTGCAATTATACTAATGGCAGGGATATGAATTATTAAGCAATATACAATATATAGATAAATAGACATACTCAATACATAATGTACTATAAAATATTTTATTCAAATTTCAGACACCATTAATTTGTAAGGAAAATGTCAGGTAGGTAAATACTAAGAAATAAAATAATCCATGGAGTGAAATAATTTATTTGTAGTATAACACTTCTTATAATGTTATGTTTTAATTTACAGCGCTTAAAGTATATGTATTTTATTTGCGTGTGCAATATTACAACACTACTAATACCAAAACTGCATTATGTTATTTTCCATGATGATTTTATTTTTGATTTTTAAATCAATTAAAACTGAATATCAATATAATATAATATTACTAAAATATGATACACGTATATTGTGCTATTAATGAACTCAAGGAATACTGCTGCAGTAGTGTCTAGCAAAATATTATTATCTTCGGAGTTGTAACCGGCGCCGGAAAGCTTTTCGGGCCAACGAAAAACCGGAAATTAATCTCATCCGTTAATTAAACACCCTAATTGAATATTCCCCATGACTCCTAACGAGCAGAACTAATTGAATAAAATTTGCCTTTTTACGTCGTAGTGAAAACGGCAAAACCGTCGTGACGCTTAATTATACGGGAAACCTATCAGCGCCAAATTAGTGGAAAATGAGTCGAGACATGCCGGAAAGCGTTTCGACAAGAAAAACTAATTCGGCGGCGTCGTCTTTATGGGGTTTCTGTTTTTACACAGTTGACATTTTCTCTCTTATTATTTTGTTACCAATATCACTGTCTACCCTTGATTTACATATTATTGTGCTGTATAACGACAGAAAAAAGTACTTTCCCATCAGAAAACACAGATTAATTCGTCTTTCATTAAACTGTATCATCGAATGTCTATATTGCTCCTCGAATGTTAGCGCTAAGTAGGGCTGTTTTAGTAAATACTATTATTAATTTTTCTTTGCAATTACAAAATACATATTCTATTACAGTTTTCATAATTATTTTTTATCTCCTTGATTTTGTATTTTATTCGACATATCCGGTCTTTTGTTTTTGTAGTAAGCTTAAAAATAATGAGCTTTGCTATATTTTATGTTACCAAACAGTACATAAGCTCTTTTCACTATATTATTATCTATACGTATTAAAAATAAGACATCGGTTTTTAGTTTCCCTTATTTTTAATTAACCTTTTTAATTTTAACAAGCTGTTCTAAACCTATATTTTTACTCTCATAAATTTATGGTAGATACGTAAACATTTTTTTTTTTTTTTGTAACATTATCACTATTGTAAAATATAATGAAACATCGCAGCAGGTAATACTTAAAGGGTGTGGCAAAGGGTACCTCACAACATTTTTGTTCACTATTCCACTCATCTAAACATAAATTACTTTTATGATACTACTACTTCGCTAAGTAGTTATTTTAATTAACTAAATAAGTTATAAATTTAATTTTTTTGCATTTAAATCATCAATCAAATATCTTCTGTTTAGGAATATGGAATTTATCTAATGTGTCTAAAAAGTATAAGTAAAAAAAAATATAACATTTCTTCAAAAATATCGTATTTTTATGACTATTTACCAATAAAATAATTGTATAGTATATATTTTCGATTTTAACAATATGGTTATGTATTTAGTATCGACAACGTAATTGTATTGTCCATTTTTGTTGGAGGTCAAACGGGGCCTAAAGAAAAGTAACTGTTAAGTATGCAATGATAATACCAGATCCTGAGTAAAGAAGCTTTTAAAGATATCGAGTGAATTAACAAATTTAATATACATTAAACTACTAAAAATTTCAACAAAAATTACGTACAATTTACGAACATTCTTGCCGTGTTCTATTTTTTTTTTTAAATTATGGCTGTTAAGAAATAATCATATTCCTTAATATAAATGATTTTTTTTTTTTTATTTGTTTGTATTTTATTTCAATACTCAGCAGACAAGAAAAAAACTATTTCTTAATATTATTCTACACATGTGCAAACATGCGAACAGACATAAAAAGGAAACGCAATAAAGCAAATAATAATAATTAATTGACGACTATTTTGAACACGTTTGTTTTAAGCTAGGATAAAACATTTTTACTATCGCAATCTTTCTTACCCAACCATAGTTAATAATATGTATCAATTGATTAAATCTTTCAAAAAAGTTCTGATTAAAAAAAAAAAAATAATTTCAATTTTAGGTTTTATAATATTTTACAATTCGTATAAAACACTGGTTCAAATAAATCTACTGTAATTAGGCAATAGTTGAATAAAAAATATTAATACATGAAATCACTCATTTAGCACATTAAAATATAATTATGTATTATAAAACAGCTTACACATTTGTGTGCATTTAAATTTTAAACTATCCAAAATCAAAATTTACGTCTACGTACATTTTGATAAACAGAATTTATAGTAAAAATAAACTTGCAAGTATAAATATTATATGGTATATCAACCTTGAAAAAAAAAACTATGCTTTATTTAAAATTGTTAAATAACACTGCAGTATTAGATGAATACACATACTAAATAATTATAAACCTAAGTAGCATGATTTTTAATTTCTGATTTTAGTATTTTTAATTTTGTTTCAAAGGTCATAAAAATGTTTGTTAATATGCTATATTGTAATATAAAATATTTATGCATGTATTTCCATATAAAGTAAAAATCCAATGATAAAAATCCAATATATGAAGTGCAGATTATGTACAGTGGCTTGAATGGTAGTTTTATGAACGAGTGGTATAATATAATTTATAAGTATATTTTCACGATTGACTAATTACAGAGTTAAGTAGATATGAGTGCACATTTGTATTAAATCGTATTTAATAAAGATAAAAATCCGATATAAACAATGTGTTGAAGTATATTTACGTATTATATTTGCAGAGTGAATGTAAGAAAAAAAACTACAAAATACAAAAAATATTTAAAAAAAAACAAAAAAAAAACAAAAGAGAACTCCCCGAGCTTCTTAGTTTTGCTTTAATCAAAAGATCTAAGCAAACGCTAATAATTCTCATGATTTTCCCCTTTTTTTTCACGAAAGAAATATTTACGCAAAAAGTCAAGAAAATATTTTGTATAAATTTACGTAATCACAAGCGCTTTGTTTCAAAAAAGAAACCGTGTAATTAATTGAAACGTCGCACTTACAAAATGAAAACAAACAACTGCAGACTCGAATCGTGTTTTCGTATAAACTAATAATATTGGGCGTTGTTTTTTTCTTTGGCAATCTGTCTTTCTCACTGTTACTCAACTGTTACTTGAAAAAACAAAATTAACGATGATAATATTTCTAACCGTATATGAACAGAATTTAGGTGATACCCGTATCATATATAGATTTATATTACTATTTTACGCACTTACAATATCGTTTAAGTCTATGTATGTTATGTGGGGTATTTAGCATAAGAGAACTAATTAGATAGCGCAAGGCATGTTTTTTCAAATTCATATTTTTGATATTATAATGCGAATCATCGTAACCATTAATTTTATATAAAAAAAAAAAAAACAACTAACTTAAAATGATTAAGTATAAAATAATATTATAAAATAGATACTTTATAAACATTATTTAAATTCCAAAACTAAAAAATGTAACAGAGTATTGAAACTGTCAGTCGTTTTTTTATCAGGATATTTTCCAGAAACGAACATAACATTTTAAGGTGGGACGGTGAAGATAAGTTGCCTGTCATTTCTCATCTTAAAACCTTTTGTGATGGGCACTTGTGTTTATACAAAAACAAATAATAACATGAACTTAATATTAATTTACAACAGTAGTAAATGTACAGTTATTATTTCATTGTTTTTACTAATTAAATTTTACGTGTTCAAAAAAAAAAAAAAAATACATAAAACATGTCTAATTCAGGATACGGAAACAATTTACTAAGCAGACATGTAAATTAGTATATTCATAAATTTATTTATTAATTTATACAAGTTAATCATATGTATAAATAGAAAAAATATTTTAATCGTGTGATATCGAGAGAACTAATGATTTTTAGAAATAGTTCTCAAATTTTAAAATAGTTTTTATAATATGATAAAACATCACAAATATGAATAAGGTGATCTTGTTTTACAACTATAAACAAACAGTTTTATAAAATATTATAAAAATAAAACGAATAACTGAATTGTAATATTTATTAACATGGTGTTAAAATAAATAATTTCACTTTCCCCATAAAAATGTGTACAGTACGCGTGTTGACAGCACTTTTTGCCACTTGCAACATCAGTAAAACCACCACCGCCATTACAATATATACCTATATAACATAAATAATCACATAATTTGTATACGTGTAGTGTTGATGATGTAAACGGACTCGGGGGCGTATAATATTATAGTAACCTATGCTGTCATTATACATTAAAATACTAACGAAAACTAGAATACTAATACTGCGATTGAAACTACACCGTTTATTAGCATTAGTTTCATAATAAAAATAATAAATAGATTACGAGTAGTATCATATTAAACAATATAACATGTGGTTAAGTAAAACATATTTAAATATACTAATATGAGCCCTCTACGGATGTGTGAAATGGTTCTCAATAAAATCGATAAAAGATCCATCAAACATTTGTTTTTAATCTACTTGCTTTGAGCATTGAATAATGTTTTTCTTCAATATTGTTATTACCTTTAAAAGGCTGTGTAAAAAATGAACGTGAACGTAGGTAATACAAATATATTGTATTGCGATTTTCAATATAATATGTGACGTACCCACTTGTGATTAAAAAATAAATGAATACTCACCAATGTACATTAACTGTACTAGTTTTAAGGAACATTTATGAAATAAATAAAAATATAATATACGTCTCTTTATTGTTATTATTATTTCTTACGTTTTTGTACTCCTCCCTTAGTCGTTATTTCATCTTCCATTTCCATGTTTTCGATCTAGTGAAACGCTCCTACACAAAATTGAAAGCAACGTCCCATGAAATTACCGTAACTTACCGGACGATACATAGAAAACTTAAACATGAACATAGGGGATAGTATAGTTTGGGAAAAACTGAATGCAGATCTCAGACTCGGGAGTGAATAGCTTTGATGTAGAACATAATTGACTGGCCATCTACTGTAATATTATTGCATATTAGATTCCTAATAATATATAACCTAAATCATATAGTATAATATATATATATACGTCAAAAATTGTATAAATATTATATTCAAGGGACCGAGGAAAAAGGTCATAATATCCAAACTTTAAAAAGAAAAAAAAAATTATGAAAGTATACGATATACCACGATGTTATTAATCTTGTTATCTGTTTATTTTTGTATCGTCATTGAACATAAAGTTTGTAAAAAGAAAAAAAATACGTTTTGTAACAAAAGGAGAAATTTTAACAAATGTGTGCACTTTTTTTTATTTCCGCACGTTTAAATGTTCATATAGTTAGAATAAGTGATAACCAGCCATATTATAATACGTAGCTATAAAAATGTAGACACGCGTTAAATGAATTTCTGAGTGATTCTGTGAACAGTAAAGTTCTTCCACGACCATGCAAACTACTATTGCTCATCAACATTACGATATGAAATACGATTTCGTTAAATATTAATCTCAGCAAGACTATGTTACACAATATTTTTGTAAGCGATTATTATTTACTTTGGTTTTCATGTACGGTAGAAATTAATTCATTGGTAAAATGGTATGAAGCACCTAAAGCGGCAGTGTGTTGAAAAAGCGTCCGTCTTTCTTTTAACTGATTATAATATACGGCAATGATTTTTTCGTTATTACAGTGTAACACATTATAATATTATATACGTTATTTTATTATTATAATCAGATCAACCCAGTTTTAATGAAATTATTTTTTTAGGCGCTTTTATAGTTTAATAATTTTTATCATGTAGTGAATCATCGTGATATAGTTAAAATATATAAGATTGAGTACGTTGAGTTATTTCATTCTGTATTCAAATTTGATATTTGTAATAAATAATAATTTAGATATAAAAATATATTTGAAATTAAACATCATATATGGATAGTTGGTGGGCTGTGGCAATACTCGTATTTCAACTCACATAAAATCTTTAATCCTAGTGCTTGAAAAAGTTGGGTTCAAATTGAATAAATATCATAATTCAAGTATAGGTAGAATGATAGTATTTATAAATTAGAAAAAAAAATTAAATTAAAAATTGAACTATTTAGTTTACCAATAGATACAATTTATGTTCATGTAATGATTGCTAAATAATTATTTGAATTCCAATGATTCATTGTTACGTTAGTATTACATTTATGTTGCTTCAAATAAGTTCATCGCCAAATGTGTTTTATTATAAAATTTATATTACAAATAAATTACTGTTATAATACCTATGGGAGTACAAGCTGATGGGTCGTAAGTATGTTTAGTGCAGAGTAACAAGTTTCCACCCCAGATTATCGTTGATCAAAGTCCAATATATTTGCAAAATTACGAAATTAAGCACTGGACTAATAATTTTAATGATTTAACACACGCACTGCATCCCTTAGGACCTAACCTCGTGTATTATCATAGTACAGTTAACCGGAAAGTGTATACACATAATTTGAGTTACTCGTAAATATTAAAATTATTTTTATTGCATTAACAATTAGTTTTTCCTAATATTATTTTAACATCGAGAAAATTGAAATTTGTAAAAAAAAAAAGATAATATTTTATTTTTAATCGAAACAGTCATTAGATTTTTTTTTTTTAATACGTCTAAACAGTTATTTTTGTGATAATATAACATCATGGATCGAAATATTAAAATCAATGTTTGTAATGTATCGATAAAATTATAGATAGTAAGAACACTAATATAAGATAATAATATAAGCAGGATAATAATATGAATAATTTGATAAATTGTTCTATCAGAGATTTATAAAGATACCAATGAAAACATCATGATAATTCACTATCCTTTTTTGTTTGTTCTATTATTGATTAAGTCATTACAATAGATATATTAAATTTAAATTCAATAATAATTCATTATATGTATAAATAAAATAATTTTTGAGTGAAGGAGGTGGGTGGATCGACTTCTATTTATTTTCTAAAAATAATTTTATGTTTTATTTATTTTCCAAAGTATTGTAGGCTGAATTGCATTTTTATGAGAATATATTGTATAATATAACTTAAAAACAATAATAATTGATTTTATAAAAGTATAAATTAGTTTTAAACATATAAAATATCATACATTTTATTAATTTATTATTTTTAAAAAAATAAAGAAAGTATTGCGTGTAAAGAAAATTATAGTATACATAATGGTTAAATATTGTTTAAGACATACAAATAATCTATATTTTTTTGAATTTCAACAACATACCTATTATTTTTTGAAAAAAAATCATTAATTTTTTGAAAATTTAAATTTTAAATTATTTAAAAATATGAACCTACATATATATTTCCAGTATTATTAAATTACTATGCAATTAACTTAACAATAACTATTAAAATATTTTTGAAAATTTTTCTAATTTTTAAAATGAAGAAAAAAAATTATTTCAACATATTGAATTAAATTTTTTCTTAAAAAGTTCGACATTTATATACTTGAAAAATATTTAAAATTGCTTTATAAGTACGTCATATTTATGAAATGTTTAAATAAATTTTAATTATTTTATAAAGTTTAAAGTTACAACACAATACTTATTTTTTTTTTCTGAAAAGGTATAATCAAAAAGAAAATTTGATATTTTGTAAATATTCGTTTTTAATTCAATTTAAGTCCTACAAGCAGATATTATGTAATTAATTAATTTAACAAAACTTTTGATCAAAAACTAAGACTGTAGCAGATTCAAAACATGATGGCTGAAACAAAAAAACAAAAAAATCTCTATACATAAAATATGCATAATTTTAAGTTTGAATATATTCCTTGTCGTTTCGTTCAGAATTTAAAATATGATTTAATAAAATATGTATACATCATATTAAAGAACATTGACAAATTTGACAAATTCAAGTAAGTAAGTACATTTTGTTTGTGAATTTAGAATTTTTATCTTATTATAAAGTTTTTTTTTAAGCTTTACATATAGAAATAATAAGAAATTTTCTCGATTTTTTTTTAAAACTATATTCTGATCAGTTTTGAAACAAAATGACGTTATAAACTATACCAAATAATATGACATTACTTTTTATTATATTATTGTAATACACACATTTACTTAGGAACAATAAATCCAATGATCCATGCAAGACGTATGATCAAAGTTGTGTTTACTAAACTTATGCATCATTAAGCTAAATCGTTATATCACTTAATATGCAGTTACGTATACATTTTTAGATATAACGGTGGTCGCAGAAAACATGGTATTGAATTATTAGTACCTACAAAAAACTAAAATATTTGTATAAATTATTGACATATTTTGCTACTTGATAGGTAGCTTAAATAGTTTTAAACACTAATAATAATAATTATCATCATTGTTACTAAATAATTATTACTAAACTAGCCTTTACCGCACAACGCATACGCCATATTATTATGCAACATTTCAACAATGATAATACAAAATAAGTAAAAAAAAAATAAAAAAAATATTATAATATAACGTCGACAACAATGTTACAATGTAATGTTGTAATATCGATGCTTTATATATCTCAAAATTAATCGCAAAAGTTTTGTGGCTGCAGCACGTCCCTTTAACCCGAGGGATAGGAGTGGAGTGTTTGGCCGCCTCGTGGGCTACACCGGGAATGAGGAGGATAAGGAGGTGTATTGTACTCGCGCTGTCGGAGATTATGCACACACTCTGTGCCGGCCGCGCGTCGCTCTTCTCTCTCTCTTCACTCTCTATCTTAGTCACGTCGTGTACGCGCGCTCTGTATATGCTCGCACAACAACGCCTATCTATTGATCCACCACCACCCCCAACACCATCTCCACGAACACCGCCACCTCCAACCACCATGCCAACTACCCCACCGACCCCGATTCCCCATATTTACCAACCACCCCCGCAGCTACATCCGAGCACCCACAAAATGTCAACACCCAAAACTCGCGCAGCCACTAAACACTTGAAAAATAACCATACGACCACCGCCACCGACGATCTCATGGTTCATTTAATAATAATATATTATTAATACCCAGTTTATATTATACTCGTACTCTTTTATATAATATTATACAATGATCCAAAATTGATATGACGGTTTTGGATATTGGAGAAGTATTGGTCAATTATGTGACGCATGAGTTATTTTTGCTAAAAAAAAAAAAAAGAAGAAATATTTTGATAGATTTTAGAATATATACATATAATATATATATATATATGTATATAAAAGAAAAAGATATTTGATATTACAAATTTAATCTAATCAATTTAATGGTATCTAGTCGAGTCATACACAACTCAACTGCGTTAGCATATTTTTAAAATTGCAGTTCATAGGTGTGCTACGACTCATACAACTACAGATTTGGAGATACCGCGTACTGTCTTTGATATTATTTTTATTCAAATATATAAATTCGAAACAGTGAATTGAAGTCGGCATCACAGTGCATTGATTTTTTATTTAGAGCGATGTTCGATTATTGACAAACGTGTTTTATTTTTAAGTTGAAATATTTTTTTTTTTTGGTTTAACTAGTCGTGCACACTGCTCATCATATGGACGTAGACCACGATAACTGTGCGGGTATAATGTCACAAACTCGAGTAGTTGAGTGACTTGAGTCAGTCTGCAATCATCAATTGTCGTCAAACATGTTGTATTTCTGTACACGCGCCGCACGCACTAAAAAAAGTTTATACATCAATTATTATAAATTTTAATAAATATCTTATACAATAATACGGGCGAACAAGTGTTAAGTTTTATGCATTA